AAACTTCGCCGAGTACCGGAACAAATTTGTGTCTGAAGTAGAGTCTTTGTTGAACAAAGTCCCGGATTGGTGCGACTAAATCTAGTCCAGTTTAATCCTCAGAAGACACAAGTTTGTGCTTTTACCGCTAAAAAGAACTCCTTTGTCGTATCTCCTCAGTTTCAAGGCACTCCCCTTCTGTCCTCAGCCAGTACCGGAATCCTCGGAATCAACATATCGAGTGACGTGCAGTTTCGTGGTCACTTGGAAGAGAAGACCAAATTGGCCTCTAAAAACTTGGCGTGCTCAGCAGAGCGGGACACTATTTCATGCCGGTACACAGCCTGCAACTTTACAAGGCGCAGGTTCGGCCTCACATGAAATACTGTTTCCCATCTCTGGGCTGGGGCTCCCCAGTGCCAGCTCCTTCCACTTGACCGCATCCAGCGCAGAGCTGCTCGAATTGTCGACGACCGAGTCCTTTCCGATCGGCTCGATTCATTGGCACTGCGAAGAGATGTTGCATCCCTTTGCATTTTCTTTTGCATTTACCACGGAGAGTGCTCTGAGGAATTGTTCGGATTAATCCCAGCCGCCAAATTTCATGAACGCACATCGCGGCAGAATTCCCGATACCATCCACACCATCTGGATGATTGGCGGTTCACCACTGTGCGTTTTAGAAGATGTTTTGCTCGTTTGCCTTCTCCTTAAAAAAATAAACCTAAATATCCCATTTATGTTATGGGATCACCAGTAACACAAGTGCGTGACGAAGCTGTAACTATAATGATAACGAGCACTCCCAACCAACTTCAGATAAAGACAACCACGGGCTTTGACAGACGGACTTCTAGGCTGAAAAAGATTCCTACTACGAACTGCATAAAATAAAGTTTTAACTATTATTAAAAAGAACTGTTACATACTGGAGGAAATAAAGTTTGTTTGTATTATAAGCGTAATATTTTTAAATAATCATATACTATTTTACACTCAACTCATTTGCACACTAGCACTGAAAGCATACGAAGCTCGTACCTCTAGTGTTCTCATAGTAAGTGCTTACGTAGCTCTTTGATGCTAATTAAATTGAATAACAATTTTGCAATTTTATTCCTTTACAAAGTAAATAATGTATTACTTAATAAAGTAAAAATAAAGTTATCATGGAAGTGAATATAATACATGTGTATTATATTCACTTCCATGATAACTTTATTTTTACTTTATCCGTGTTGCCGATCATATTCAAATACAAAAGGTATTAAAATAATTGACAAATACTAAAAATTAAGACCTCGCATTTTGTAAATTACTAAGATTGCAAAATATTATACTATGTCTATTATATATTACTAAGATTGCAAAATATTATACCATAATATGTCTGTGACAATGAACGTGGTTTGCAATATCTTGTAAAATAATTACATTGAAATGTGTAATATTATATCGTGTACTTAGTAGAATATTTTACTATCTACTAAAAAAAGATTTTTTTTTAATAACTAAAAACAATTTAATACAATAGAATTTACAAGTAATTTTTTAATAAAAGAAATATCTGAACGGTATTTTAAAACAAAAAAGTATATGGATGACGTAATTTATATCAAATTAATTTATGATATAGTTGCAACGGAAATTTGAGATCACCTTCAAATCAAATCAAATCTTCTACTTAAATTTATCTTTCATTTAAGCACTTCCTGTCGCAATTGATTTGGATATGCTAGGGTTGTCAAATTTTAAGCTTTTTATCCCGCCATTAATCAAAGTCTTTTATATTTTACAGACATATTTCAAGTTTGTCATTTTAAATTTCCACGGACTGAGATGACTTACCTCGTCTTTAGTTTAAGGATTATTAGTCATTATCGGAAAAGAACATAAACGTATCGTGGTGGTAAAATGTCTACAGAGGTGTAGACGTGTAAGGAGGTAGCAGTGGTAGTGCCATGCTACAGCTATATTATTATAGCACGAATGGGTTGGCTCGGCCGAGGAAGGACCACGCTCTCACAGAATACCAACGTAAAATAGCAGCTTAATACTGCTATGTTATGGTGAGTGTAGAGAAACGAAGACCTCTTTTTCCTGGAAACGCGGCATTCCAATTTAGTCCTTTTAGGGTGACAACGCACCTGCATTTTGATTCTTAATCGAGGATAGATGTATCTCTATAATTTATGGGCTGCAGCATCCACTTACTATTAATTAACTGTGTACTTGTTTGTCATCCTTATTCTATAAAAAAGAGAGTTTACGTCAAAATCAATAAATTCCAAATCCTATTAAGATCCCGTGATTCAAAATTATAACTTTTTATTACAGTTAAGCCGGCTTTTTTGTTCATCGATTGCGATCGAAGATTATTGGGAAAGCTTTTAGATAAACACCTACCGTTCTACACAAAACTCTGTTCGAAAATGTTGTAACATTGAATATAATAAATCGACTTAAGATTTTTGTAAAATTTTACACGTTGATTCGCCATTTGGATAATTGAAAAATATTATAATACCTAGACTAAGTATATGTAAAGATTTATATTTTATACACTCTAATCACAGCACCAAAACTGTTTTTTTTTTTAAGTTACCGAATATATCAGGGAGGAAATGGAAAACCAAAAAGTAACATTGATGGTGATTGTACACTTTTCTAATTGACTTGTTGACTTTTAACAAAGTTGATCACGATATCCTACTTAGAATTATTTCCTATTTTAGATTTGGACCATCGGTTTTGAAATAGTTTTCTTTCTATCTTCGCGGACGCCAGCAATCAATTCGTGTTGGACACAACTGTTTGCTGTGGATTGTTATAGATACTGGCGAGTTGCAAGGCGGTATTCTCTATCTTATAATTTTCTCAGTTTTATAAGCTTTATCTACTCCAGTATTGATTGCACGTATAATTTGTATGCAGACGACATTTAAATTTACATTAAATCTGAAATTGACAACATTAATAACGGACTATATATTCATTCATCATCATTACAGCCCTTCACATGTCCACTGCTGAACATAGGCCTCCCCCAAAGAATGCCACAAAGCACGGTCCTGAGCCACTGCATCCATCGACTTCCTGCATGTCTTACCAGGTCGTCACTCCATCTCGTGGGGGGACGCCCTACACTATATATTATTTTCTGTTAAATAGACGTTGCTCAGGTTTTTATTAATTATTTATTAGACAAACTAGCACGAGTTACAAAAGAGTCATGGTCACTTGATGTCACAGAGTAGAGAGAATGCAAAGAGCTATATATTAAAGTGCTCAACTGCACCAAATAGGGGCGAAATTCAAAAGTAGAATATTACATTCAACACCCTTCCTGAATTTAAGCCTCATTATGACATAAAGACAATAGTAACTAATTTTAAATTAGGCAATAACTCACAAATTGGCAAAGTAAAGAAAATGAGTAATACATTATTCCAAATTATATAATAATATTTTAAGCTTTAACTATAAATCTAAGTCCCAAATCAACAGAAAACTGTACTATATGATAATATTCCAAGCTTTGATCTTAAATATTGAAATTTATCTTTAGACAATGCTTTTGTAAGTATATCAGCAAACTGACAATCACTACTAACAAACTTTAATACCATTAACTTTTGATGATACTTTTCTTTTATAAAGTGATATTTAATTTCAATATGCTTACATCTTTTATGGAAATTAATATTTTTAATGACACTGATAGCACTTTGCTTATCTAAATTAAGATACATAGAGTCCTGTTTATATTCATTTATGTCACTTAAAAACTGTTTGATCTACATTGTCTCTTTGGTAGCAGTACAGGCTGCCATAAATTCAGCATCTGTAGTAGACAGAGCCACTGTTTGTTGTCTTTGGCTGGACTAAGTCACAACTGCCCCATTCTTAATGAATACATAGCCAGTGACTGAACGGCGTTATCCATATCGTTTGCATAATCTGCGTCACTGTAGCCTGTGACATCTGATGTTTGTGGAGATTGTGTATAACACACCCCATAATGTTTTGTATCTTTCAAGTACTTGAAAATCCATTTCACTGCATTCCAATGGGTTTGATTGTAACAATTAAAGAAACGACTCACCAGACTGGCGGCAAACATGATATCGGGTCGACTCACAATGGCCAAATGCATCAGAGAGCTCACAGCTTCTCTGTATGGTACATCCTTCTCAACCTCTTCATTTCCTCTCTGCAACTTCATGTGGGGGTCAACTGGAACACTGTTGGAATTAGCATTAGTCATGTTGAATTTGGCCAACATTTGTTCTACATGTCTGATGGATAAATATGCATTTACTAGACTGTTCAATTTGCATTCCCACAAAGTTACCAGGTTTGGTTAGTATTTTAATTTCAAATATGGTTCTCAATTCTTTTGTTATTTCCTGTAAAGCCAATTCGTCTGAAGAAAATAACAATCCATCGTAGTCTACGTATAATAGATAGCATTTCTTTTTAATGACTTCACTAACATACACACATTGGTCTGCTTTGCTGTTGACAAAGCCAAAATTTTTAAGCACAGGGTCAAATTTACTATTCCAACACCGTGGAGCCTGTTTTAGGCACATAATCTCTTTTGACACTATGTAAATGTAGCATCCCTGCTTTTTATCACTTTTCTAGAGTTTGGTATTATGAATCTATAGCCTTTACTGTGCTCACAATAGCCAATGAATATCATTTTCTGTGCCTTTGGGTTCCACTTTTTACGCTTCTCTTGTGGCAAGTGTACCATGGCTTCACAGCTAAATATGCGCATGTGTTTTACATTTGGTTTCCGTCCAGACCACAGTTCTTCTGGTGTCTTAAATGACAGGGACTGCATCAGCCCAATATTGTTTTGGAAGTTTTGCATTAAGCGGCATACATTTTGCTCTTTCAATGAGAGTCGTGTTCATTCGTTCTGCAGTCCCGTTTTATTCCGGAGTATATGGTATGGTAGTCTGGTGTATAATCCCAGCACTTTTTAAGTAGTCAGAGAATTCCTTACTGACTTACTCTAGGCCATTATCTGTTCTTAGAATCTTAATAAGGCTATTTAATTGATTTTCTACTTCATTTTTGAACTCTTTGAATTTTGTAAGTGTGTCACTCTTTTTACTAAGAAAATACACATTAACGTTCTTAGTATAATCGTTTGTGAACGTTAGGAAATACTTGGCACTTCCTATTGTTTGTGTTTCCATGGGGCCACATATATCAGAATGTACCAGCTGAAGAGGAACCGTTGATCTGTTTCCTTCACTTTTAAAAGGTAGCCGTGTTTGCTTACCTTCTTTACAGGTGACACATGTCAGACTTTGTGTATTTGCTGAGAAAGTTACATGGTCAGCATTTTCAGGCATTTTCTTTAATCTGTCAAAATTAAGATGTCCCATTCTTTGGTGCCACAGAAAAATATTTTGTTCTCCAACTTCAGACATGCATGCATAGTCTCCTCCAGGAGTGTTAAGCCGATACATGTTGTTGATGATATTAGCTGTTGCTACTATCTGATTTTTACTGTTCATAATAACACAGCCGGTTTTGTCAAATCTTACTTGGCCACCACTACGAATAATCTGACTCACAGAGAGCAAGTTAGTCGCTAGTTCGGGAACATATAAAACAATGTTAAACAGGACCTTTTTCTCATGACCTTTATCATTATAAGTGTCTAAGCTTACTTGCCCTGAGGATTGCACAGATAACTCCTTATTATCTGCAACTCTTATTTTCTTTATGGAAGAGGTTGCAATATTCTGAAGCAATCCTTGTGTTTGGTCATGTGCGAGGTTGCACCAGAGTCCACATACCAGGCATCATTTTGTGAGAGCGATGCTACAAATACAGCAGCATAAGACGATCTACTCGGTTTTTGTATGTCTTTAGCTTTAAATTTACATTCTGAACTTTTATGATCATATTTATTGCAAGTATAGCATCTAAGTCCTTTTGATGGCTTCTTATAGTTTTTCTGAGACTTTTTATTAACTAAAAATGCCTTGGAGTCATTTTCAGACAGTCTTACATCTTGTAATAACTTTGCCTTAGCTGAATCTGAGGTAATTTTCATTCCAGAGCTCTCTATGGCTATTATAATAGGCTGATATGTGTCAGGAAGACCGGAGAGTAGCAGCGTGCCCAGTCATTCATCATCTACCTCAAAGTCTATGTTTCTGAGCTTATGAGCGGTACTAATTATTTTGCTTACATATTCCTCTACATTTTGACATCCACTTAGCGATGTATTACACAGATCACGCAGCAGACCAACTCGACGTGTCAGCCCAGAGTCATCGAACGCTGACGAAAATGTCTCCCATACTTCTTTCGCAGTGCTTGCCTCTTGAATGTGCACATAATTTGTTGGGTCGACTGAGAGTATTATCTTTGTTTTAGCTTTAGTGTCCCGCTTCTTATCTGCAGTTTCTGAGGTGTCATCTATGCAATCCCAGAGTTCCTCGTGTTGCAAGTAGGTTTGCATTGCAAAACGCCACGTTACATAATTTTCACGCCCAGACAGCTTTTCGATAAACGCAGTACTATTATTTAGTGCCATTTTTAACAAGTTAACTCAGTTCAAATACGTAAATGCTTTACAACAAATTAAACAATAAAACACGTTTACATGAAACACGTTTCGTTTTGAGGTTAAGTTCACATCAAGTCTTTTATCACTGATATTACGATTAGATTATGCACTGTCTTTATTTCTGAGTTTTTCTGGGCCCATAACCTGTTAAATTAAATAGACGTTGCTCAGGTTTTTATTAATTATTTATTAGACAAACTAGTACGAGTTACAAAAGAGTACATGGTCACTTGATGTCACAGAGTCTCTACTCTCTCTTCTCTCTAGAATCCAAAGAGCTACATATTAAAGTGCACAACTGCACCAAATAAGCGCGAAATTCAAAAATAGAATATTACATTCAACATTTTCAAATTAAAATAATTACGCATAATGCAATTATCTCGTTATGGCACCACGCTCAAGGTTGAATATTAGAGAATGCTTAAAGTGATTAAGTTCGCCCTTTGTTAACCTTTTGCTAAGGTGTAAGCAATAAGATGTAAACAAATAAATTAAATAAATTAATGTCACAAGCCGGGTAGTGTTGATAGTGTGAGAAAATCCACTACCTAGAAGAATACAGAGAAGATAATTAATAGAATCAGGCGTTACTTTGCGGAAATCCATTATATAAAGGCTTTTACAAAAATTTACTTCGCAAATATCCGCGTGTTATAAAATAAAATGATGTGTCTTACCTAGTATGAAGAAGCACCTCCCGCCCTCCCTCAATTGCGTGCACTATCCCCGTCACCACTAATCCCAGCACCACTACTTCCAACACCACTACACTAGGCAAGACACACCACTGACGATAATACGACACGTGTTTCGCCTCTACACGAGGCATTCTCAGGTGATATAGACTCTACACGAGACGTGTAGAGGCGAAACACGTGTCGTATTATCGTCAGTGGTGTGTCTTGCCTAGTGTAGTGGTGTTGGAAGTAGTGGTGCTGGGATTAGTGGTGACGGGGATAGTGCACGCAATTGAGGGAGGACGGGAGGTGCTTCTTCATACTAGGTAAGACACATCATTTTATTTTATAACACGCGGATATTTGCGAAGTAAATTTTTGTAAAAGCCTTTATATACAGAGAAGAAAGAATCCGCTAATAATTCCGTGGGTGTCATAAGAGGTGACAGAAGGAAATCGAACGAATAGGCAGCAGAAACTAAAAAAAGTTTTGGTTGAAAATCCGCCTGCAAAACGCAAATACCTATGGGAAATATCTCCTCGATGAGAGGCAGGACGAAACTACACGAACGCATAACTGAAAAATATATTCTATGTTGAAAATGTATTCACTAAATTTGTTTAGCAAATATTTAAAATTAAAGCAAACGACCGTCAAAATGAGCCTTCAGAAATTAAAGTTAAAAGTGTCATCTAGCATTTACAACATTAAGCACAGTGTGTAATTGTGGAGCGGACCACTTTACGAAAATTCCTTAGCGTTGGTGTTAATTGTCTTTATGTTTGGTTGCCGCAATTACTGGACCCAACTTCATGTGCTCGGTTTGTAGAAAATATTTCAAGGGTTTACGTAAAATTTGAAGGGATATTTTCACTACGTTTCTTTTTTATTTCTCTGACTTTAATTTTTTAGCCACGGGATATGTTGAATAGTGACTTTTTTGTGCCGTGTATTAGCGGCGGAAAAAAATCTACTAACCCATATCAACACAGTAATCATCATATAACGGCGTAAAAGGTGACAGAAGGAAACCGAAACAGGAGATGTGTAGTAGTATCTTCCTAGTAAAAACTCAATAATAATTAAATAGAAACAATTGAAGATGCCTATATCCAGCAGTAAACTTTAAAGAACTAATGATTTATAACAAAAATATTTGTAATTTTATAAACTCATCAAAGATTTACAAAAGTTATATTACCATTATACTTGGTAGAGCCATGCTGCAGCTATATTATGGTTGTGGCACGAATGGGTCGACTCGACCGGGGAAGGACCACGCACTCACAGAACACCAGCGTAAAATAGCAGCTTAACGCTGCTGTGTTTCGTATGGTGAGTGTAGAGAACCGGAGACCCCTTTTTACTGGAAACGAGGCATTCCATCTTAGTCGTCACGGGTGACAACGCATCTACATTTTGATTCTTACTCGAAGATAGATGTAGATGTCTATGGGCCACAGCAACCACATACCATCAGGTGGATTGTGTCCTCGTTTGTCACCCTTGTCAAATAAAAACAAGTAATGGTGTTCGCAATAAGTTTTGAACTTTTAACCGCTATCAGTAAAAGCATTGTCTTTCAGTCCAGGCTATGTAACTTTGGAAGATAATAAGATAGAATATATAAATATTGCAGTGAAGTTATTTTGTCAGGGCATCGCAGTTTAAAACGAGAATAATATAGGATGCGTATGTTTCTTTCTATACATGTTCACCGATTTATCGAACAAGGCTGAACCATAAAGCAACTCGGGCCGCCAAAGTATCGGACGGGAGGAGTCATACGCAGGCGTTCCCCTGTGCGAAAGTATAAGTCCATTTATGACACGGCGGCTCTATGTTTACAATAAAACTAGTTGCACCTGCACTGCTCACTAGACTAAATTTAGTTGCGCGACTGAATCGTCATCCAATATAAATGCCAAATTGTTAAGTTTTTTTGCTGCAAAAATTTCTTGTTAATCCTAAAAATAACAATAATAACAGTCCATAGTTGCGATAGTAACGGTCGTGTTGTTTTGGATTTGTTTTCCACCACAGGCCACTCGCCCTCATACAATATGCCAATCGGTCGAGCGACTGATCTAAGTTTTGATATACCGGTTTGTCATAAAATCAGCTATCGATCAAAATGGTAAATAACAAATGTGGTCTATACAGTCATGTCCCTTATGTATATAATTAGTTTTGAGATTATGTTTTCTAATTTATTTAATATATATAGTTTTATTATAATAGAGTTTAATATTACAATTGCATAAAATTAGTATATAATACAATACATACGAGTATTAATACATTATATTAAAATTACTAAGTGTGAACTTCGACCATATTGTTTTTTATTTATTTGTTGCAGATTGCCTAAAGATCAGTGTTTAAAGGATATATAGAAATACTTTTGTAATAACAGGCTTACCTGGCTTCCCACAAGAAACAGTGTCATTTGCTCAGATCATTTCAGGTCGAGGGAAATAAGCCAACTTTAATACCACACTGTATTATTGTTCCGTAAGCTTTCTTTACATTATAGAGAAGGCTAGCGTACAGTCAACCTGATGGTAAGTAAACTGTGGCTCATGGACATTAACGATCTCAAGCTCAACAACAGATTGTAAATACCTACGTCGCCAACCCTGAGGATTAAGATGTAATGCCCCGTGCCACCCGTAAAATTTTGAATATGTAGTATATTGTAGCATGTGGTTAGTCATAAATGTGATATGAAGCTCAGATTTTTCCACTTCAAAAAATGTACAATGTTAAATGTTATTTTCCAGAGCCGTCAATTATCATTTACTCGACCAGATGACAGACTATCATCTTACGATGTCATTACAGTGGCACTACTGTCACTATTCCTGATTCGTTGACATTTGCATGTACAACATCAACTCCTCCACGTGTAAGTTTCTTTTTAATAGTTTACTGTCGTAATATGATTGATTAAAATAAATAGGAACATATTTATTGAATTGTAATTTCTACTATTTTATTATTGAGATTGATTAGCTGCACAGAAAGATGATAACAGCATTATAAAGTATATTTATTTTTCAGGCTTAGTCAAAGGAAACATCTGAAAATTATGATTCGAATCCCACCATTGCACTTACATCAAGAAAAAGAAAAATGTAGCAACATCTATGTTATCAGAAAAAAAAATATTAAAAGGCTCCAAGCTGAACCTCTTTTTAAAGAAAAAAGTTGCTGATTTGAAATAATTTCTTCAGAATCTGGATGAAAAATCTT